TATGGCACACTTTTACTACTTTTATTACTTGGCGAAATCTTTATACTTGGACACTTTTGACAACAGACTACACAATACAAGGAAATCCCACTAGAATTACATGTTTCCTAAGAGTGTGTACATGTGTGTGTAGCGCATTTCTGTTTTGATGTTATCATGTCAGCATGATTGTTCCTTTTATGCTTATGTATTCACTTAAGAAAAATAACTTCTTAAATGCATCCATAAGCACACACACACTTTTTTCGCTAGTAAGTGGTAAGCAAGCTGGCAGTTCACCTGATGCTGAGGTGACAACCGCCGCTCAGGGACATTTGCAATACCCGTAGGATTGCAGATTTGCTGCCACCTTTTTATAAATTGGGCTCCGGCCACCTCGACGGACGACAGAAGTATAACACTTCTACTCCACGCCGGTCTTCGATTAGATTTCGTGGTAATTACCGAACGGACCTTCCCATTCGTGATTGATTGATTTTTTCTGCAATATTCAAGCTCACTAATGTCTTATTTATTCCTGTGTAACTAGTCCGTAAACCTAATTCATTTGACTAAAATGAAACATTATGCTTTCAACATTCATTCTCGAGCCTCTACTCATTATGTAACTCAAAACTCTCCTCATTACATACCCATACACATCAAGCGTTCACTGGTTCATTACACATGAGAGCAAATCATCTTAGGGAACGTCAACATTAAATAATATTCACGCAATATTAATTTTGGCTCAGAAGTTAAACATTATCTACATTAAGAAACACACAGAGCATAATTCTTACAAACAGAAATACTGAATTGAACAGAATAATACAAATGAACGTGACATTTATTCCTTCCTCTGCACGAATATTGACCTTGTTCTTATGAATTCTCGTTGACGATTCTTTCATTTATCTCGAAATGAAGGCAAAGTATGTTGATATACTGTCGGGGAATTTTAATGGGGGCAGACTTTAATGTGTGAATCTATTCTGTATAGCCACAGTGTATTGTTTATATGTTTTAAATAGCACAATGTGAATGCGAAGTCAATAAGTAGTGATAAAAGCAAAGCGGTGAGTTTTATTATTTAAATCTTACTTTTAATTATGTCTCTCGTCATTATTTTTATTTCTACCATCTAGTAGTATAATTTAATAGTTAGGTGGCGTACAGAGCATAAGTTATGAGGGTATGTGTTCATGTTATTCGTTATGGGGGTAATGATTTATTTACTATTTTTTTTAAAAGGGCCTACCTATGTACCATACATAAATTTAAAATGCCAACTATTTGTATAATCTTTCCTGTTAAACCAAATAAATTTCGTTGAAATTGTAAGTTAATTACAATAGCTGCCGAAAGCAGCAACAGAATAAAAAAAAAAGATTCTTAAAATATAAATTTAATAAAATAAAGATCACTATAACTCTATAACTAAATTAAAGTGACTTTACTAGTGTTTATCGCCGTAAAATGACAGAAATCGCTAGCATCGCTAACTTGCACAGGCTCGGGATTGGCCCATAAGTAGGTTTTAAATATTCGAAAATTTCTATGAAATGAATTGCATTATAAGTTAATTAATTAATGTTAATTAATACCGAGCATCAATACAATCACTAGAAAAGTAAATTTATATGTAAAATTCGATACGTACTGATGTTTTCTACAGAAATGAAACCTTGTGTCGAAACAACATAATATACTCTGTTCGAACATAATCTGAAAATAATTAGCGTGCGAGTCAACATAACATAACAAAATACATAAACTCCTAGCTAGCCCCCGGCTTGAGCTAGTTAATAAATTTAAATATGCATAGCATGCTTGAGAAATGTTATATTATATTTGACATTCATAGCATAAGCATGCATTTTCGTTCGTGGAATTCTTAACAAAAAGTTACTTTAATACAAATTTAGTCCAAGCTACCCAGGAAGAAAACTGAAAAAATATGCCAGGTCCAATAGTTTAAGAAATAACCTACGAAGCGCGAACGAGGATGTAGCAAATTTTTAGTCTTTACTAAAGATAAAGATATACGTCGTTTTTAATTCGAACTACAAGGGACATATTCGATGTCATAGGTCCTTTTTTTGATGATTTTTTAGATGATTGTTGAACATTATTAACATAATATAGATTTATAGAAAAATTAAGTAGTGAAAACAATAATCGCCATCGAAACCACTGAAACAAATTCGAAAAATAATTAATTAGACCATAAACGACATTGGCGTCTATATATTCAGCTTTTTCGCGATTTCCGAATACTAAAAAATAATAACTTGCTCATCCTTTAAATGTATGCTGGTCGTAATTATTGGTCGGTAAATTATTATAGTTCTATGTTTACGTACGGTGAAATCAAATTTATATTTCCAATCCCCCTAAATAATGAGCGCATGTCTTAATAATTTAGAAGAATTACATATCTCTCTCTAATTTAAACTAAGATTACGAAATAAAACTATGTTTATAAATATCTTTCAAGCTATATTTTTAAGGTAAAGTTTGTCCCGCCGAAATTTATATATGTATAATTTATAAAATGTAAAATTTAAAATAAATAAAATTTCTAAAATAAAAGTAACCTAAGTTACTCCCTATTACATCGGCTATCTGCCAGTGAAAGTTCGGTCAAAATCGGTCTAGCCGTTTCAGTGATTAGCCGGAACAAAGAGACAGACAGACAAAAAATTTAATTGACAAAAATGTTATTTTGGTATATGTACCGTGTATAAATCCATATATTATATATGGATATTTTAATATTACAAAGATACACTCCAATTTTATTTATCTGTATATATGCCAACACTTTGATCATATGTTCCGATATAATTGTAAAAATAGATACATTTTGAATTTTCCAACTACAAATTACGACAAAAAATTCCAAAAAAGCCTCATATAATATATAGTTTAAAATTAAAACTTTCTAATAATCTTTTAACTCCTTTGCGGAGCTTCGCTCTCCGGTAATTTTTCTTATTGAAACGCGAGACGCTAATTTTGACCTGGAAGGTGTCCAAGTTGTACATCACGTTTTTATTCCACTCTTGGCAAAATAAGCCGCTCGGATGTTGGGGTTGAGTGGCTCTTTCCAGCGCAATAAAAACTATATACTCTATGAACGCAATCGGTAGCGAGCTTTATCTGAAAAGTACTAGGTGGAGGTGATAAGGGAGACGGTAAACCCCATTCTTGTTGCAAAAATAGAGAAAACGTCTGAGAGTATGTAGTGTTTGTAGTATATTTTGTAGACGAAGCGACGGTGCGAAAGATTAAAGATAAATTTTAAGATTAGACATTTCTGGTAAATTTATTAATATATTGACGGTATCACCGTCACAAACTTCAATTGATGAACGGTTAAATCAACCGTACGCAATGACGATTACAAATTTACATTGTGACGTCACACGCGCTCGGATTAATCCGGGATCAATTTGTTTTTGGTACTGGATTTAAAGAAAAGTTTTTAATTCAATATAACTTTTAAAATTACTAACAAAGCTTGCATAAGAGCTTCCGATACGTAATAACAAAAGCATTCTTTTTTTTTAAATTCAATTGAACTAGTAATGGCTTCGTTAGGATCATATTGTAGTAATAAAGGGTCCGGGTAATAAAGCACATGGCTAAAACGAGATCGAATCCGACATTTCGGCTGCACTTACGTGTCATGTAATTGAGCACATACGAAGTTGACTGCTCTATGTTGAATTGTCTCCCTATTTGTAGATCCCGTCTAACCACTAATCCGTTGATTCCGTCGTCTAAGCATGTTTCGTACCGATGATTTCTAAGACGTGACTGGCGTTAAGGCGCAGTGCGCAAATAGTCGATTACAAGTTTTCGTCTTTACCAGTTAGTGTAGCTTAGGCTCAAATTTTAGCCTACATAATATTCTGTCACTTCTCCTAATAAACAGTTATATATAACTCCACTCTTATTAAGAAATTACGAGTTCAGTATATTTTTCATACAAGAATTTAAAGGGAGGAAGTTATGGATACAAATACTAATACAAACTTTATAAAGATTGGTACAAATAACAAATTGTAAAAAAGTTGCAAATGCCTATGGGCGGCTATCACTTAACATCAGGTGAAACACCAGGTCGTTTGTCACTTTTTTACATAAAAAAAGTGAACTTTGTAGATGGTCAAAAATTCGGTCACGGTTGACGCTGTGGGTTTCGAAACTGCGTCCCGGGTAAGGCCCAAACATCAGCAACTGCACTAAGCGTTCGATGACCTCAGGGCGCTGAAATTTCATTATTTAAGCACTTGAACTTTTTATTATAAGCTTCTGACTTATCAGACTACATTTCTCTTCAAAATATTTCGTTGAAATGATTTCGCAGATATTGAACTCGATGATAAACATGGTATCTTATAATAATACGTCAGTCACAAATTAAATAACTTACTTGATCTATAAAATAGTTTATTCGAGGTCGGTTAATTAGTATACTTGTAAATTCAAGAAATCTTTGATGATCCAAGTACCGTTATGACAAGTGAAACACGCAAAATTACATTACATGCTACATTTCATAAATTGGTTTCAATGTACATGTTCTGATGGAGGATGGGAGTGAGAGTGCTGCACTGCTTCCGATAACACGAGGCATCCAATCAAACTTTATTGTACCGACCTTCGACGGAGATGGATCGGAACTACGCTCGCGCCGTTCGCAACATTTCGCCAGGCGAAAATTTTACTTTGACTTCGGTAGAACCAATTCCTCAATTCGGACGCTATTTTCGATCATAGTTTGGCTTTAAAAATAAATAAGCATTAGGGCCCCTCACATTGACGTTAGTCGATCTGTGTTGATTCTTCTTTTGTGATCGTTTTTCTTACGAATCTCATTCATACTTAGCGAGCAGGACATGAATATCGGCCGAGGTTCAGGCTAGGCGCCCCGTGCGCCAGGCCACCTCAAGCCCGTCGGAGCTGTGAAGGCCCCTAAGGCCAACAGTGGCTCGTCCAGCCCAAAAAAAATGAATATCGCAGACAACCGAGTCGTCGCCGCCGTGCGAATCGAGCCCATGTCTTTGATTTGCGCCCAGACTCTTTAAATACTAAGCTAAATGGCTGACAGTCAACGGCTGCATTCGTCATTTTAAAAATGCAGCGCAGATGTAACATATGAAAACGTGAGTTGGAAAAGCTTAAAAATGCAAATTTCGCGTATGGATTTTGATTAACACACTAAATGCGTAACTAATGGTAGTCTTAGCAGTTAGCACATTTATGTAATGGTCCTGTTACCACATAGAATTGCTACTAATTTAATTGTGAATAATGCTGTACGAGCAAAAAGCTATATATTAATAGTCTCACACTATGCCGTAGGCTACGCAAGCACAGAAGCGTAATTATATCAATATAAATAAAACCATTTGACCCATGCAAAATTTTGACATAGGAACAAAAGAACATTCAAATAATTTTTTAATCAACAATAGGTGTCTCGTTTTTAAAGAATAATAACGTCAAAATAGGAATCCCGATGGCGTAAAGGGGACATCACCCATTATGTGACATAATTAACGGTAGCCTTCCAACTGACGTACATGTTTCGGGACAAAAGTCTGCGATCCACAAAATAGTAGTTCTGACAATAATGATTTCCAACACGTAGGAATCACTGATATGAGAGGTGTTATAATGTATTAATTTAACAACCAACCTCTTTCTCTCTACAAATATATTGACTTACAGTTACTTTGCTATCGCGATGTGTGACTAGATCCCCATTATGAACATCACAACAATCAAATGACGCACTATAAAAACCTAATATGATCTTTAAGTTGTGTTAATACAAAAATTGTAATAAAAGGGAATCAAATAATGTAACGCGACCTTCATAAATCCACTCCGGGCGAAATTAAGCTGAAGTACCGCTTATCTCCACCGAACAGTATGTTCCATATCGTGGAAGGGAGAAAACATGGCGCAAAAATAAAGCTAAGGTAAATCTTGGCACCGAAGAATCATATCTATTTATTAACCAGCAACACGGCTGTTTCCGCACTGTGGCGGCAAAATTTCGTAACAAAATGTGTTATCCTTATAGAATATTTGACGACCCAATTGGCATAGTGGATAGTGACGCTAGTGTGGGTTCGATTGCCACTACTGGAAAAATATTGTGTGATGAACATTATTTACAAAAGAAAATTACGTTTAAGTATTTTTATCAGTGTAGTATCCATATTACATACATGCTTTGCTTAGTTTAGGTCTATATAACGATGTGTAAAAATGACCCTGAAATATTCATTTATTTATCTATTTAAAGCATTTTTTTCTAGCTTCAACCGCTTAAAAAAATCTTTACAACTCAGTAATTAAAAATCGAGATAAATATTTTTGAACCGTTTTCAACAAAACCAGTTGAATAAAATTTAACTTGTTAGGTTTTGGTTTTCTATTTCATCATCCAGAATTTTACGAGGCCATGGATGTTTTTCTACGTTTTGGAACAGTTCAGTCCGACTTCCACATCGTATAGCAATTATGGACTCCAGTTAAAACGTGTTAACATTAAAACTAATTTCAATCGGAACATTAAGAGTTCCCAAACGATAATCAAGAGGCTGCGCTCCACATTTAGCTATAAATGACTAATATATAGCGTTTCTCAATTCAAATGCCAGGTTGCGGCTGACTGACTGCATTGTTTGCGAAATCATTTGCACCGTAAATGCTTTATATAAACACAAACAATTCATCAACTCTATTAACTTAATTTATTTGCCTATAAGCGTACATTTCCTATTATAATTTTACGCTATATTACCAGTGTTTAATAGGAGTAAGAACATATCTGTACTCATAACGGTTAAAGAAATAGTTTACAATCAACGATATTTCAATAACCCTTTTTTTATTTTAATCAATAGCAATTAGTGTTTTAATGGGTCGGTCGTATTTTGTAAACCCCCTAATTTACTGCGACCTAGGAAAATCTACCTATCTTCGAAAAATTGCCCCCTTACTGTATCCTACAGAGAAGGGGGAATGTTTTCGTTACCTGTGTTGTAAGGACGTTTTACATATGTAAATTTCACGCAGACAAACCCCTTACCGAGGTCCGAAACAACTATCTGTGTGTCACACAGATAGCTGTCTCGTGTGGGAATCGAACCCTGGACCCACGACGCCGAAGCCAATTCCTTGGCAACTGCGCCACGGGGTCATCCAGTCGGATGTTGTTACCAAACTACTCAATCAGCATTCGAGTAAACATGAATAAAGATATTTTTAAATTGTAATAATTATATCACAATTCCCCATTACAATTTCCAGTAGTGTTATCGGATCTTTCATTCGACAAATTTATGCATTGTAAGTAAGCAATTCAGCCTTCTCATTGAAGCGAACTGCTCCCGACAAAGACGCGTTTTGGGCCTAATGATAGGCTACCAAAGAATGTCCGAAATTAGTTGCAGTGCCTCATCAAGCTTTTTTTCCTACCTCGTATGAAAATGTTCACGGGAGGCGTAATCAATTAAAATAATATTTCCATTGCTTCAATAGTATACGGGAAAAACAAACTAACTGCGATTACTGTATACACATTTATATATATACAAAAGTAATAGAAGGACGGCATTTATCACAAATGAAAAAAATTTAGTTATCCTAAATGACTTCGAAGCTAATTCAAGTCTAACTTCACCGATTAGTACGTCAAGATCTGTGGTGAAGCTATCGAGCCGCCATCACAAATGTGTTCATGATTTGGAAATGTGTAATTAATGAATGAGAAATGAAATTATACCGCCAAAGTGACATAGAAAAGTTAATGAGTGAATGAGCACTTTGTGGATTTACATCACTAACGCCCGGTTTCTGTAACAATGAACATCGTAGAAATAAACTAACAGCTATCAAACGGCGTTTGCAATTTCATTTGCAGAATTTTCAGAATGATCTTATTAATGATCAGAATGATCAATTCAAATAGTTTAACCATCCTTTTGGCAACCCTAATGACTTTGTAAACTTATTTATTATATATATTGGCGCTGGCAACACTGTTTACCGGATATGACGTTATCTACTCGAGCTAAGGGACACATGGCCGCGTAGAGCAGCGGTCACTTGGATTTCGGCTGCGTTCCCGGACGGTGATAGAAACACTAGTGCTGCTTGTCGTTATAATAGTTGTTAATATTCAAGTTCAGTAATAGTTAAAATGTTAGAATCAAGGTAAAAACGTTAGAACTCTTATATATAATTAATTTCTACGATGATCAGTGTTTCAGAAAACGGGCGTAAGTCAATCCTATAAATTGGCAATGCAATGCCGAAACGGGGTTAACTGCCTGTAACTGCCGACAAGATACATGTATCGGTGTTAATGTCGTAGGAAGCAAAGGAAGAAAGAAAAATCGAAGAAGGTGAAAAATCCTTAATGTTTGGATCAGAGGTGTGTGTAATATATTGTATGCATTTAACCAATATTCTAGAATAGATATTTTTCTGCCCGAGAGCTTGAAGTATAAATGAAAAAATATTCGTAGTTACTCGAATGGGCAGGTCCGTCCGGGGAAGTACCATGACTTCACAGAAGATCGACGTAAAGTACAAGTGTTACACTTCTGCGTTTCGTCTGGTGAGTGATGTAGCCGGTGCCCACTTTATCACAAATTGGCACTTTATTGCCCACTTTATTACAAAATAATAAAGTGGGCAATAAAGTGGCACTTTGAAATAAAGCAGGCAACAAAAAATAAAGTTGCAGATGTAACCCTACGGGTGTTCCAAATGTCCGTGGGCAGCGGTTATCACTTAAAATCAGGTGAACCGCCAGCTCGTTCGACACCTTCTCATATAAAATAATAGAGCCTAACAAACTCGGTAAAGATTTATGCCCGCCTAAAGTGCGAGAGCAGTACCATGGTCAAAATGTGTGAATATACACGGCATGTTTTATTTTAGACATCTATCTCTATTTTACTATTTTCGATGTAGCTTCTGTCTGAATGCAGTCGTAACGCACCGGACCGATACGTCACCGTGGAGCTACTATTTCTCTTCTATATTTCAGAATAAAAAAAGTATTGCCATCACGAAACACACGGGAATTGCCAAAATCTGTATCGTAGGCAGGTCATAACCGTATCTTATTAAGACAAAAGGCCTGGTCCTGTTGTCACTGTTTGCAAAAACTCTAATATATAGCAACATATAGAATTATTACTTTGAATACTTAAGTAAAAAGTAGATTAACAGCCTAAATATGTCCCACTGCTGGAAAAAAACCTCTTCTTTACAGGGGCTATTAGGCAATAATCCATCATAGTTTTATATAATAAAGGAATAATTATTAAGGCTACTTTTATTTTAAATAAATAAACAAACAAGGCAACACAGAATAAATAAGACCAAAATCCGTTCCAAAACCTTTTACTTCCATTCCTATCAACTCCATATATCACAACTGGATGTAGTGTTTTATGTCTACACTAATCTCGGTTAGAATTTTGCCTGAACGTATGTCATTATCTACAATCTACTGAACTTATTATAATTCATAGTCATTCTTCATTGTTCTAACCACCATACAATGGGCTTATTCAGCGCGCCACAATCATCCTTTGAGACGTGGTAATCCACAGCAGATTATTTCATGCGAGACGTTCTAAACGTGAAACGGATTTGCGATCTGCTAAGACACAAACGTGATTCAATGTGAAGCAATACACATTACGTAAAAAAGTATTTACATAGGATACACATTATTGTCATTGCAAAGAAATAATGGAATAAAATATGACGTGCATAGATGTTTTAATCTGTCGCGTAGAAATAAAAACGAGAGTTTTAAGAGCTGTGCTCTATTAAATCTAAGTAAATATATTAATAGAGTTTAAATTTATATATATAAGAAAGTTTCATCACAGAAATAATAAGCGTAATTGTAGTAAGGTTGGTTCGTATCTTTACAAACTTAATTTTGTTTCAGATGTTAATTACGCCATGCTCTAGATAAGTTCGTACCACTCTCTTTACAACACTAAGGGTAAAATTATACCGAGAAAATTAAATAATTAGGAGACAAAGACATGGCCAGCGTGAAGAGGGCAGTCCATTAATATTCTAATTCACTTATTCCGCTATTTCGAAGACTTGGTGGCCAACTCATCGTTTTCATAACCTCTTCCTCTCGTCGTTTAATTAATATAACGTTAAGTTTGCTCTTCAATTATTATCCATAAAAGAGAAATGATGTTCGCAGGCACACTCCTTTGCTTTCTTTTTGCTGTTGGGAAATAAAAACATTTTAAAAAATTATAAAATCTGTAGTTACAACGAATCAGTACGTTGTTTCAGCGATTAATCACTATTTTTATTTGGACGGAAAGCTCTTTGGCTGGGAATCTATATATAGGACTTTTTTAATTGCAATATAATTGATAATAAGTACTTGAATCGAATACACACTGATTCTTACAGACGATGTCAACGAAAGGCTTGAAAATAATAAGAATTGGCATTTTTTTATCGATTTAAACTTTCTTTACTCATTAACGTGCCACAATAGTATATTTTAATAGCTTTAACTTTTGAATAAAACTCTGTCGCATATTATAAACTGAAACTGCGTTTCAGAATACAGAATAACTCAACAGAAGTAAGTAATGACTTTAGTGCAAACTAAAATTAACACTTCACGAGTTTTCGGTAAGTTTTAATTGCAAAACTTAATTCCATTCTTAGCAGCATAATATTTTATGTTTTTGTTCTTACTGTACCTGAAAATAAAATGTTAATATTCAGTGAAGATGATAAAATATACTATATACTATAATATACTACTATATAAACTACAACTATTACTTTATAAACTACACCAACTACTTCTATATAAACTATATACTAAAATATACTACTATATAAACTACTTCTTGGATAATTTCCAGCCTGCAGCGAAAAAAAAACTTTAGCTACAATAGTAAATTAAAGTTATAGCTTGTGCATATACAGCGTGTCGTTACCATCGCGACAATAAATGAACACACGTCTAACGCTACTTGCCAATAATCATAAAAAAATATAAACGTGAAACAAAATCCATAATTAAAGAAAAAAAAATTTTCAAACAAACTAATTAAGTAAAAAAGAAACAAAATTTGTAACATCCTATACAACTCGCGCAACAGTATGTTTTGTCTCTTTAAATTCATTCAACCCATTCATATGCTTTGTGACCTTTACAAATGAACTTTACGTTACGCTTTTATAGGTAAGGGTGTTCTAAAATTCTTTGTTTTGGAAAATTTAATAACTCTGTAAATATTGATGTTTAAAGAATTTAAATGTTTAATACAACTTTAAAAAGTTATCCCATATATGTGTGTTCATTTATTGTCGCGATGGTAACGACACGCTGTATATCGTACTCAGGTTGCTCGTGTATATTAAATTACAAGTCCATGTTTTTACTAACGAAAAATAAAACTGACTTCAAATATCTCGTTCTGTATTCACATTTTCATACACATTTTGTAATTACACATTCACATTTTGTAATTAACATACACATTTTTTTAACATGTTAACCGTTTTAAAAATGTAAATTCTTAGGAACTAATAGTATGCAATGGTAATAAACATCACATAACTTAATTGTCATCAATATTATCATTGCAGTAAATTTCCTCAGAATATGACAATATAATAAACAGATGGAATGTAATTCTTTTTCTTGTGATAGTGGAGCACCAGAACTTATTAAAAGTTTAGAAAAAATTTTTTTTGTTACTAAAACCATTTAAATTTTCGATCACTTAGTATATGTTACTGTCACCGGTTAGCCAATTCTCAGTTAAATGAGAAAAACAATTTTGTTAGTGAATAATTTTAAAAGCTCTAAATACTATTTATTTAATAATTATCTTAAACGGATAGACAACGAAAAGAAAAAAAAAACGCTGCCTGCACGACAATTCTATAATCTTTACTAAATCAATTAGTAAAGGCAAAAACGTATTGCTGAGAAAAATATACTTTTTCCTTTTTAGAATAGCCTTGAAGAGTACATGTGATGAACTTTGTAGCAATAATAAGTATAAAAGACGAATTTAATACAGAAAAATCACAAAATTTTACAAGAATAAAAATATTAATCCATATTCATTTTTTCATAGTACATTTCAAAGAAAATTGTCAACTATTTGTGAACTATTTGTAATTAAAATTAAATCATCTATGGAATTTTTTTCAACATAATAAATAGTATGCACGTGACTGTGTTTAGATCTAGTGCGAAAATATTATATGAATAATGGATTTATTATATTGGAGATTTTTTTTATTGTTTCTCTGTGATTTTTGGCTTGTCGATTCAAAATTCGTAAGTTATCATTATCCAAAAAATAATAAATTTTATAAATCACCATCCCGAAGTGGAATCCATGCGCGATTTGACGACGTACCGTCGTATTTTGATTGGAGAAAAGATGGAAAAGTATCACCTGTGAAGAATCAGAGAAATTGTGGTGCTTGCTGGGCCTTTAGTGTTGTGGGTAAGTTATTTTAATCAGCAGTGCATACGTATTCTTTACAATGAGATGGGATTACTATTACGGTTTTGCATTATTATGTTTAATAATCAAGATTGGTGGCTTACGATATTTTCCGATATGAATCTTAATTCTTAGACATAGCTATGTCTTGACTGTACAAAGCTATAGATTTTATAAATTTTATAACTTTTTTCTTATAGATGTCTTTGATTGTAAAGATAATAAAGTTTACGCTTAAGTAAAACTTATGTAAAAATACTGATGTTGTTATTGCAATTATTTTAGCTAATATAGAAAGCCATCGTCGAATATACCTGGAACAGAATCAAACTCTATCCGAACAATTTCTAATTGATTGTATAAAAAATAGTAAGGGCTGTGCCACGACCTCTGTCATAGAAACGTTTGCGTAAGTATAGTTCAAAAACAAATCTTCTTTTTCTTTATAAATTATCAAAGATATGAAGGGATGACATGAGGTATAGAAACAGAAATTTAAATTTCAAATACATATAATATACTTTTTATCTATTTCAGCTTTGATAAATCAACATCAAGGAAACGGTGCTGTTTATTTGAAATAGTTAGGAATCATAAGCGGTTAGAAGTCTTTGCTTCTTATTAGTTTTTGGTCTTTTTTATTTATAGTGGTAGTCGGCACTCAAGATAAAATTTAATGTTGATATCGCACCTTTAGAATTATAGTGACCTATTTAAAAAATATCAATTTTTGGGAAACGTTAAATAAAAATTTGTGCATTTATGCTTTTTGTAAAAAAATAAGGTTATTACAATGAAATTTCATAAAAATCATAAAAATTTATACTTTCGAAAAAAACTTCTAACCTGCACCTTTTCGGTAATATGTCTAAACGCTCCTGTAAACTAAGCTACGCTGGATAATACACTGCTGTATATCAACTTTTTAATTTAAAAACTTGGCTCTCGATATTATTTTCGGTTACGAGTACATTCCCGAACGATGTTAATGTTTTCATCCTATAATTTAACGAGTAAGATAGACCTAGATACTTGATGTTGGGTCAACATTTTCTAGTACACACTTAAGAATAGATATAATGCATACTTATGCGATGGATATAATGCATACTTATGGTTACTTAACCGCGAATAAACTAATTTTGTAAATTGTAGGAACATTGTAGACGGCCTCGGCGGCGTTTTGCTCGAGCGAGACTACTTCCCATACGCCGACGAACAATTGGAGTGCAGATGGAAACATTCCGGTGATCCTGTTCCAGTTCCAGTCACTGGGTTCAAACGTGTATATCCCAGTGAAGATATCATGCTACAAAATTTATATCAGTATGGTCCTCTATCAGCTGGTAAGAGTGTAATTCGTCCGCTGTGGACTATTAACGACCACAACTTTGGGACAAACTACTGTATATATAAGAGTAATTAGGATTTAGGTTTTCTATTTTTCTGAATACAATAAAAAAGCACAAACTTTTTTCGACTTATAGTATTAATTAATTCGATTCATTAATTTGTCCATTAGCACATAGCTCAAACTAGGAAACGGATTGTGTTGAAATTTGGCACACCGATAGTTATTATGATCTAGGTATGAAATACAGATTTTTAAAATTCATCCCCTAGAAGGGTGCAAAGGGGTTCTAAATATTTATTCAGAAATCATATTAGGTAAATACATCCATTTGAAAATTACAGGGCAAAAATACACTTGGAAGAGAAAGCTATACTTGGCTATAATTATAAATCTGGTGGTAAACTGAAGTACCGATTCGTCACAATAAATGTTTGAATTTAATGAATAATTAAAATTAAATGAATCTCTTTTTACGCATAAGTTTAAAGATTTGCAACGGGTTATCGCTGTAATTATATTTGTGTTATTATTTCAAGCCATCAATTCAAAGTCAATGGAAACTTACAAGGGCGGAATCGACGAGCCCACTGACGATGTCTGCCCACCTTCACAACCAAACCACGCCGTTCTTATCGTCGGTTACAATGCTTATGGTACGCATAATAGTTTAAAATCATCATCATAATGAAATCAATTATTAGTATCAATATCATATTCACGCATATGACCGTTATTTTTTCACTAAACATTAACTATACACGTATATTTATTTTTAATTTTACTTATTATAATAGATATAATATAATATATGACGATGGAATCATGTAAGATCGTGAAATTCAGAGAATGGACTGAATGGATTCACAACATGAAATGTGCCTTTGTTTCATTTAATTACTTTTATAATTAACTTTTTAATACAGTTTCGCCAGACACCGGTAGGGTGACACCATACTGGATCATAAAAAACTCATGGGGGACGGAGTGGGGCGACAATGGCTACTATTATCTGGTGCGTGGTAGAAATGCTTGTGGTATCGCCAGCGACGTGTCATTCGCTTTTGTAAAATAAGCAAATCTGTAAAAATATCTAATAATAATAAATGAAATAAAAAACAATTTAACCATGGTCCTTTTTTATTTATATACATTTGGAAACAATTGATGAAGCAATATGTAACTTTGATAAGTGAGAAAAAACATAACAATAAGTTTAATTCGTTAAATACTTATTTATTTTTCAAGTTCAGTGATCTCGGTCACCTATATTTACAAAAAAAAATCCTTATGCAAATACCACGAATCGTGAAATGAATCTGGTTTTGTCGAATCTCATTTTGAATACGCAAAAATTAACTTCTTATGAGATTCAAATGTAAAGCTAACTTCGATAATGTCTACAACAACAATTTAATACAACAGTGCTTAGATGGAAAAATCATTAAGATTTAAAGCAAACACTAGGCCAAAGATAAAAACTGAGCGTTTTCCTGCCTAGAATTTATACACATTTAGACACACATCAAAAATTTATAAGGATTAAGGCTTTTTCATATAAAGGATTTATTTTCTTTCGTCTCCTATATTCTACTTATACTCTTGTGCTTAGCCAAAAATAGTTTTAAAAAATTAATTATTACTAATTATAAAAGTAGTTTATGATTAGTAACAGTGAATTTTCTCAGAAATACGAGTTAAATGTTTACAAGGGATAAAAATGGAATTCAAATCATTGTCCCATTGTGATGTCCTTGTTATATAAACATAGAAACAAACAAACAACAACATTCCATAAAAATCGGATCCGCGTCAAACCAAATCCATTTAGAACGACGCGAGCTGGATAAAAGAAATGTAAGTGGGAATAACGATTTTGAATTGTTAAAATTATGTTTTATCTAAAAAAAACACGCATTGGGCAGTATGCCTTATAACATAAATAAATAAAATTTTTGAATATAGTTTTGTTTTCAAATACGTTGTTATAATAAAAAAATTCAAATCAATCTAAGTAAAACCTATACGAATAGAATGTAGATAAAAATAAAAAATCCACGAGTGACACGATTACTACTGTGAATACCACACATCTGTCATACTGATTTGTACTTATTATTAAATTGTTTATAAAGCAAATTCTCATATAGTGAAGGTGTTACATATACACAAGAAGTAGGCCATAATCGCATCCAATCTGCCCCATAAACTGAACGCAACTGAACCTTTTGAAACGTCTAGTATTTAAAAACATCACTAAACGAAATAATACCTGAAGAATAGTTGATACTGACGAATATTTATTTGCTCCAGTGGACAGACACTTAATTTCGATCGTTGTTTTTTTTTTTTTCACAGGCTGCTCAAACTGACGATCGGATTGAATCTCATCATTGCGATCAAAGGTGCCCGACCCCCGGGACTAAACTACACATGGGTGGAGGATGACTCCAGCTTCGACTGCGTTACCCCCATCGCTTACTGGTCCGAGCCATACAATGTGGGCGTTTTTATCGGGAAAAACTTAGTTGCCACCTCGGAGAACCCGCTCGAGACGAACTTCAGACGTCCCGACTACCTCCAAATCTACGTGCCGGACGGCTCGCACGACAAATCAAAGGAGTACTATGTAGCTCACAACCTCGGCGATATATGGGGCAAATCCTATTTCTGGGTTTACTGGGGCTCCCGACGCTATGCGGACAATCCCGTTCATGACGTCATGTTTTTGCACATCAACATAGATGTTGCACCTACCGTCAGCGCCAGCGGACGACGTCCGTACTACCTCCCAGTTGCAAAAAAATACGAGATAGAAGAGCCCAGCGGCTGGAAGACTGCGGCATTTGCATTGGTTGACAAGAGTCACGTCAACAGCAGCACTAGATTGGTTCCGGTCTACTACGATGAACCTGTTTTGGTTGACTGCGAGGAATGGTTCCCCAGATTTTGGGGCTACTTCATATGCATTATGAATCTCGACAACTATCCCGTGATCCAATCCGGTGCGCCGTTGATACAGAATAATCGTCTTTTTGGAATCGCCTCGTTCAGTATGAGAAAAGGAAAGGAGAGCATATATGCGTTCACTGACTTAAGGCCGTACAATGACATAATTGCTGGTGTGTTCAAAATGATACAGTGAAACTGCTAAAATGAACCTTCCACTCGAGAACTGAATAACATTATGATTCACAGACGAAGAGTATACTGATAATTTATAATATGTTAAAAATAAGTCAATCATCATATAGATATTGCGATTTTTTATCTATTTGCTTAATATATTCAAGAACAGAATTGTATGTTGTTTGTATATAAATAAAGTATGTAAAGAAAGTAATAACCCACCGCTGGACAAAGACCACCTCTTACAGAGGGTGTCAGGGCATAGTGCGTCACGCGACCCCAGTTTGGGTTTACGGACCTATTACATGTTTTACTTCATAATGTTTTTTTTTTTGTTCTTATTTCAAAATTATGCAGGTTTTATTACGATGCTTTCCTTCATGACTAAACACGTGATACGACGGCCGTTAATTAACCGTTGTTTTAAATGATTGTAATAGTAGCTTATTTGTTTTTTTAACCAACCAAATGGTCATCAATGGCTCCTTGAGAGCTCTATCCATACTTTATTCTATTCGTGATTCTTCTTCTACTACTTCTTACTCATTTTCAGCCTTGAAATGTCTATGTTCAGCCCATCGGATTCCGTTTAATGATCAAAGCACCTAGTTACTTCTCTGGGCTGCCCAAAGGTTGACTTGTAGATAATGCTGTACGCAAAGTATATTTTCATAAGCCCTATGATATTTCTATGTTGCCCCATAAATATCACATAAAAATAAGCTAATTTAGACGTCGTGGTGAATTTTCCTATTGTAGTGATCGTATTTGGTGAATATGGTGGGGAGTTACATTAAAAATAATTCGATTATTTTAATGCAAAACAATTGGACATTTTTGAATAAAATAGCCGGGTCTAGCCAGTCTATATACAATATTTAATTTTGTTTCTCTTACAAAACATTTTATCTAACGTATATGAGGTTTGACACCGATCATTTCATAGAGAATAGAATATTTTCTGGGCAGAAATGACATTGAATAGAATAACTTGTTCATTGATACCGTGTAGAGAAGTGCAAAGTTGAGCGTCGCCGGTAAAGTTTTTGATTTTATCTGAAATAAAAGTTATTTATTTCATGAACTTGATAGTGCTTTGGCTTTTATTTGAATTTGTATATAACAAGTCTGAAGGAATTTAAAAGTAATAAAATACCACGACCTCCAATAAAATCCTGTCTAGACTAGTGAATGTTCTTAAAAACTGCGTATATATTATAACATAAACACAAATAAACGAAAACGTATCCAAATGGCGTAACTAAATATCTATGTTACTAAACTCGCACCTCATTTTCTCGAAGATTTTTATTGATATGGTATTTTTGCATCAATTGTACAAAACGAATAATGGCTTGAAGGTATATTATGAATTGAAATATAAATATCTAATATCAAGCACTATAGACATCCAAGATCGATTAAATATCTTATGATAGAAGATAATGTTTTTAAAACACAAGAGATAAAAATAGATAAAAACCGAGCAAGTTCGAAATGGAATCACGTCATAAAGACTTGAGAAAAATATGAAAGCACCAAGGATTGCTTTCACGAAAAGATAATCTGGATTGAGGGACAAACTTTGAATAAAGCTTGTCACTGGATAACTGTTGTCCCAAAACATCGATATTTCTTTCGTTGTTAGGTAACCAGCTTCACTTAGCTCAGTGGATTAAGGCGTTTCAGCGTGTAAGATATGCTTAGTGTTATGGGTTACCTTTACTATACGCACACTTTCGATATTACATTTAAACAAATGAAAATTTGTAAACTTTCTCAGATGTGGCCTTTGCCATTAAAACTATTTTTTAAACAATTATTTTGAGCAAAAAAATGAAGGCATAGCTCCATTCTTCGCATTTAAGATGAAATTTATAAATTTGTAGAAAAATGGGCGAAAAATACATTTCTTTTAAATTCTTAGTGTTAGACGCTGCACTCGAAATGACACTCGTATATATAAATATTTCTGATAAATAATTCTGTCGTAAACTTTTGTCGCAGCTGCCGCCTCTTACGGATTACGCGTCCATGCGGTCTTGCTACTAAACTAAGCGGTCGACATCCTCACCGCGTGACGTCATATTTACTACGTAGTCTTAGCTTTATCTGGACATTTGTGTGATTCATCTTAAGTACGAGTGCAGAGACTAGCACTATCAGTTAAAAATTAAATTTTGATGACAAATTAGCTACTAAACTAACATATAAAATTTCACTTTGAGTCCAGACTGGCAATAAAATATAAAAAAACTATATCGTAAACTGCTAACTGCAACTTGACAGACAGTAGCTCGATCCATTTTGGTTTTGAGATACGGAACGTTGATCAACGCATTCACGAAATTTAATTCGAAATTGAGATACTAAAAATGTTAGAGTAATGTTTCATCTATACTGCAATAATAGCTTTCGTAAAAAAATTATTTGATGTGATATTTAAAAACGCTAAGTTAGTGAAATAATTTCAATACGTCGTCAATGGTTTTACTATCGTAAGTAAAGGTAAAAACTGTTAGTAAACCGTTGAGATAAATAAACTTGTTGAAATAAAATAAAAGTAAGACGAGAATTAGTAAAAGTAATCTTAACGTCGTATGCTAATATGCAATATAAATTTCACAGCATCTGAAGAAGCCGTAATTTAAATAAGTTAAATAAAAATTCTTAAGTTTGATAAGAACTTGTCCCGTCGTATTGGCGAATTTATAATATGTTTGTTGAGATGTCGGCTTTGGGAGTTCAGTTTTGTGTGTGCTTTCATTGTTACACTACTTCCTGTGAGATGCAAATTTCCACTTTTCTGCCGCTTCAGTTAAGCTCAATTATTCGATCTATTAAATCTATTTAATAAATCAGAAATAGTAAAGTTTTAAACTAAAAGTTTACTGAATCTGGGCGATAGCCCCCTATTACCCGCTTCTTTCATTTGACCACATTCAACGGCTTGGGTTATCGACGATCAAAGTCTTACCGATCGGCTTGATCCATTGGCTCTGCGTAGAGTTGTCACTCTGCGTCTTCTTCTATGGCTTCTAGTAAGAATTTCATCCACACCACCTCGATACACAGCGTTCGACAACAGCACGATTTTCAAGGCATTTCCTGCCTCGCACAACCACTCTGTGGAACCAGCTGCCACCAGCGGCCTTTCCAAACCGTTACGACCTGGGAACCTTCAAGAATATACTCTTTCCTATCTATCATCAGGTGAGCCTCCTGCTCGTTTGCCTCTTCTCTCCATAACAAAACAATATTTACTTTATGACTTAAATGATATTTCTTTAATTATTTTGAGCCATCAATTCAGTCAACGGAAACTTACAAGGGCGGAATCAACGAGCCCACTGACGATGTCTGCCCACCTTCAGAACTAAACCCTCTATTCTCACGTCGGTGACAGTACTTATGGTACGCAAACTATTATAATCATCACAGTGAAATGTTATTATTATCAATATTGTCATCGTCACGCAAATGTCCGTTATTGTTTCAGTAACCTATAAACGATACATGTATGTTTATGTTTCATTTTACTTCACAATAACATATCACGATGAAATCATGTTAGATCGTGAAGTTCATATAATTAAATGATTTATAATATGAATGTGTCTTTGTCTCATTTATTTTCAATTTTTTTTTAAATACTGTTTCCCAGACACCGGTAGAATAACACCACACTGGATTATAAAAAACTCAAGGGGGGACAGAGTGGGGAGATAATGGCTACTATTAAATGGTGCGTGTAAGAAATGCCTGCGGTATCGCCAGCGACGTGTCAGTTTTCTAAAATAAGCGAATCTACAACAATGTCTAATAATAAATGAAACAAAAGAACACAATTATTATTTTTAAAAACTATTAAGTACTCTAAAACATTGGTCTGTTTCTTTGTTATAAGTAAATTAGTAACTAAAACTATAATTTATTACATACATTATTAAAATTGAATGTTGTGCTCGGTGGTTATTATAATGTAAGTTTAGTAATAAGTTAATCTGTTATAATTTAAGTTAGTCTGTAATAATTTAGTCATGTTAAAATTTGTATTTTGTAATCGTGCCAAATAAATAAGTAAAACAATTTAGCATGTAGACATGTTCCATATACTTATGTATAAAAAAATACACATGTATATGGCAGTAATTGATGACGCAATATTACAGGCTAACTTTAATGAGCAAGAAAAAGCGAAATAATAATAAGTTTATTACGTTAAATACTTCTTAAGCTTTCATGTTCGATGATCTTAGTCACCTATGTAATTGAATAATATTATATTTAAAAAAAAACTTCAACCGTATCCAAATACTACGAATCGTTAAATTAATCTAGTTTTTCCGAATCTAATTTTGAATAAATTAAAATCAACCTCTTATGGAAGGTAAAATATAAAGTTAAGTTCGTTAATATCTAAAACATTAATTTAATACAAGGGTTAAGCTGAAAAAATTTTTAAGATTTCCATGCGGTAAGTATGACGACCGCTTGGCTTAGCAGCTAAAGCGTTTGAGTGTTCATATTCGAATCCTTGCGACGACGAATACTTCTTTAAGAATTCAAAAATACGACAAATTTTATCTATTCATTTTAAATTTCCTGTTAAGTGCAGACTAGAGCCAAAAATAAATATTAAGCGTTATGCTGCCTAGAATTTATATACACGTTGTAAGTTCAAAAATCGTTACAACCACATTTTGTAGCGTAGTTTATAATAGTTTTTTTTTTTCCGGAAATACGGCTTAAATGTTTGCAAGGGATAAAAATGAAATTCTAATCATTGTCTCATCGTGATGTCATTGTTATATAGTCATAAATTGTTACTACTATAATAGAACTTTCTATTTGAAAACAAACAAACAACAACATTCCATAAAAATAGAACGCGCGTCAAAATCAAATCGGATTCGGAACAACGCGAGCTGAATAAAAGATATGTAAGTGGAAAAAATGATTTTGAGTCGTGGAAATTAATTTTTACCTTAAGGATAGGAATTGGGTAGTACG